GGGGGGGGGGGGGGGGGGGGGAGAGTGCCAAAATTGTGAGACCTTAGTTTGGCTGTTGCCGTTGGGCGTCCTTTGGCTTGTAGCCAACAGCAAATCCCCTGAGAGCGCACAACCCCTTGATCAAGGTATATGCCGTAAATCAAAGAGGGCCTTGTCCTACGAGCTCGGGAGTAATGTTGAATTAGGCGGGTAGTTGGCTCATCAGGTCTTCAGTGACGTATCCGTTGAAAGCAAAGCACGGGTTTTCAATGCACAAATCTGCAAGGCCATCTCCATGAAACACATGTTCATGAAACTTCGAAGCGCGGCAAACTGTACTAAAGCAACAGACATCAGACGGTGCGCAAAACGAGACAACAGTTGTTACGTACTAATGTTCTTGCAAGAAGTGCACATGCACGTTAGCTAGATATGAACACATGTATATGTATAGTCCCTCTATCTGTCACAACAAATAACCTACACCTTACCAAACCTAAACAGCCACAAAGGCCGTATCAGGGCCGAAATAATTATTAGAATAAGATCTTGGGGCACATCATCGGAGGAGTCCTAAGAAACAGCATAACTCCAAACCCGAAAATCGCTTTTCGAAAACCCCTGAAGCAAAGCAACAGACCCCGAACCCTAACCTTGTACCGTGAAACCCGCAGGGCCACAAAGCCTTGAACTCAAAATGCGGACAACTACACTCAGGGGAGCCCTTTTGGAATCTCGAAAGAGCCGTACAAAACCCTCATAACCCCAAGGACAAACCCTAAACCTAAACCCTAGAAGAGGCCTCGAGATCACCTTTGATGTCACCTCGCAGCTGCCATCGGCCCAGGGGAAGCTTCGGGCGATCCTCCAAAAAGGGATCATCGTCGTCCTGGGCATTCTTTAGCTATAGGAAACTACAGGTCTGGAGTTTCTTATAGAAGGTCTACTTAAGGCATATAGACCTTCTATAAGGCTCCAATTATATACGGAAACCACCCACCTGAAAAATGTCCTGGATTTAGGGGTCGAGGTCTTAGATCTGCATCTTTCTGGGGTTGGAGTGTGCGTCGGTTTAGGAGTTGGAGCTAAGAAAAGTTTAGGCTATGAAGGGGTTAGGAGATAGGGTTGAGGGTTTAGGAATGAGGTCAGTTAGGTTTGGGAGCCAAGTTACGGTAGGGTTTTGAACTTGGGAACCATAGGGCCAGAAAGGCTTATTAGGAGTTAGCACGAAGTTAAGTTGCGGAGTTATAAAGCGGTTCAAGACTTAGGGTTAAGGGATTAGGAATTAAAGTCAGCTAGGTTTAGGAGTTTCAACCAGGGTCAGCTTGAATTGTACAAGGTTCGAAGGATCAGGGGTCTAAACCCAAGGGTCCATGAGCCCCAATCATGAAGGCCCCGGTATCATAGAAGCCTCAGCACAAAAAGACACTTAGAGGCACCTGAAACAGGAACTCTTTAAAAGAACCCTGAGCCCTAAGACTCAAGTTTGGGAATGACCACAAGGCTTTAGAGAACGCGCGCCTGGCCGACGGCCTTGTCTGTGAAGGGCAGACGGAAACCAGTTCGCCGCCCGGGTCGTGGGTCGTGCCACCTGGGGTTCCCTTGAAGGGTACTGTAGAATTCTATAACAGGGCCCCCTTTTTGCAGGTACCCCGTGGCTTCTGCATGCAGGGTAATTTAATGTAGAGTTCTGAATGATGGAAAAACAACCATGCAGTGGTGGTAGTAGTAGTCGTTGTCGTAGTGGTAGTAGTAGTAGTAGTAGTAGTAGTAGTAGTAGTGCTGGTTAAGGTAGAAGCAGTAGTGGTAGTGGTAGTGGTGATGGCGGTAGTGGTGATGATAGTGGTCGTGGTCGTGGTAGTGGTCGTGGTAGTGGTACTGGTGGTAGTAGTCGTCGTCGTAGTAGTAGTAGTAGCAGCAGTAATAGTAGTAGTAATAGTAGTATTGGTAGTAGTAGTAGTAGTAGTAGTAGTAATAGCAGTAGCAGCAGGAGAAGTAGTAGTAGTAGTAGTAGTAGTAGTCGCCGCAGTCGTTGTCCTCGTAGTAGTAGTAGTAGTAGTAGTAGTAGTAGTAGTAGTAGTAGTGGTAGTAGTAGTAGTAGTAGTAGTAGTAGTAGCATTAGTAGTATAAGTAGTAGTAG